GGTGGGCTGGGGAGGAGAGTTGAGGAAAGCAGCCGGTCAGAACTGGGAAGGGCGATGAGGGGCCCAGCGAGACTCTTCCTTCTTTACCTCTTATCTTGAACCCCGACACTGATTGATGCAAGCTTCCGTGATGGCACCCTCCCTCCCGGACCCCTGAGGTTGGGTGTTCACCACTCTTTGGCCCTGGGGCCAGTTGTCCAAGGGTTCTGGAGTGGACCGAGTAGGGGAGACTTTGGGCACTGGACAACATTGTCCCAGGTTTTCACTCTTAACTCAGAATGGGTCATTTTTGGTAACTGCAGCCGGGGGAAGCTGGGGCAGACTGCTGGGAAGGGGTGCTCCAGATCCCACCGGGGGATCACACACACACACACACGCACGCACGCACGCACGCACACATGCAGACATGTGTGCATGAGCAGACAGCATACTACCACCCTGTATGTGCACCTGTACACACATCTACACAGACACACAAATGCATCAGGAACACACTCATGTACATACAAGCACATATCTACTGACACATCCCTGCACTCACTTAAGACATACAGAACCATGCTTGCTGTCTGCATATACCCATGTACACCTCACAGGTGTCTGCCTGGCTGGCTCAGGAAGGCCCAGAACTCCTGGGGGGACACTGCTACCTGGGCATTTTCTTCTGCCAGCCCCAGTGCTGGTCCTCTGGGTAAGGTAGGGAACGACCAGAAGAGGGGATGCCTGGGGTGTTCCTCCTATAAACACCTCCAACATAGACCCTGAGGCCTACTGCCCAGGAGCTGCATACTCCCAGTCTGCCTGGGGTGATGGCGACCCCTCTCACAGGCTGTACTGACGGGGGTGGGAGCGTGGCCCCTGCCCCAGTGGCTCTGGTCTGGAAAAGGGCCAGATGGTGGGGACACAGATAACCTGGACTTCTCTCTCCATCCCAGGGCCTTGCCTGCTCCCCACGCCAGCACCTCAGGTCAGGGAGCTGGAAGCAGAGAAGTCAGAGGGCTTAGAGCCCCTACTCTGCCCTCAGGCACCTCAGAGAGGATTGGGGTGGGCCCAGGGATTGAATCTCATTGGATTTAAACCCCAGTGCAGAAGGAGAAGATCCTGGGGGTGGTGCCTTGGAGCTGAGCGGTTGGAGCGAAGCAGGGCTGCGGGGAAAGAGCTGTTACTGTGGGGTAGAGTCAGGAGAGGAACAGAGAATGGCTCTGGGATGGGATCTCTCTGCATTCCTAGGAAGGGCACATGGCCAAAGCATGCCCTGGGTGACCTGGTTTCCCAGCTATGGCTCACAAAGCACTTTTATGGGGGTTATCCCTTCCAGTCTACACAGAGCCTGTGAGGTGGAGATTACCCAGCCCAGGCCAGTTGCCCCAAGTTACCCAGCAAATTGCTCCAGTGCTCTCCACAGCCCCTGTCTCTGCCTCTTCTAAAGGGGAGGGAAGCAGTACAGGGTATGTGTGTGTGTGTGTGTGTGTGTGTGTGTGTGTGTGTGTACATGCAGTCTGCTTCCAGGTCACCAGTTCAAGTGAGGACACACCTCCCTTATTTCTTTCTGTCTCTAAATAGTGCCTCACACAGTCCCCAGGGCATCACTCCATTCCCTTACCTTTGACCCTCCATCCCTGCCCTGTTAAGGTCTACAGGAGCACTCAAGGCACGGTTGGATTGTAGGGTTCTTCAATAATGAAAATCGGGTTATTGGGGTGGCTAGCAGAACTCTTTGTCATTCTTGGGGTCTGCAGTGCCTTTTGCAAGCCCTTCCCCACACTGGCAATGGGCTGCCTATTCCTGGCCCTCTTATGTGGTGCCCACAGCAAGGCTCTGAGCACCTCAGCAGGGGCACTAGAGGAAGAGGAGGATAAAAGAAGTGGGTGGAAGACAGGGCTGGGCAAGATGCCACTAATGGGTGTGTGGGCAGTGGGAAGAGGACATGCTATCTGTATCAGATACTTAGAGCTCCAGAAGCCCTGGGGTGGACCCCACCTTCCCCAGGAGGACCTAAGGTCAGTTACGGGCATATCAGACAGCCAGAAACAGACTAACCACCTACTACCCAGCTGGCACCTAGCTAGAGCCTGCTCAGACCTACTCCCAGGGGAGAACCACGTTTATGAAACACCTTCTGTGTGCCTGGCACTGTGCCAGCCACTCTATATCTGTCCTCCTCAAGGTGGAGGTGTTTATCCCCATTGTACAGATGAGGCAACTGAAGCTCAGAGAGGTTATGTAACTGGCTGAGCACTCACATACCACGTGGCCAAGCCAGGATTTCAACACAAAATTATCTAGTTCTAGTACTTTCCACTCCGTGGGGTTGTGGTAGAGTAAAGCAAGGAGGCAGGGTGAAGCGTCGGTGTTGGACCAGGGGTGGGGTGCGGGGAGGAAGGCAAGTAGGCTGCTTCTGGGAGAGGTTTTGGGTTTCTATCCTCCAGACCAGCAACCTGATGTGAGCGCAAGGCAGGCTGGTGTGTGGCGGGCTGGCGGTGATGGCGGTGGTGGTGGTGGAGGGAGTTTCAGGCTGTCTTGAGGTGGTGAAGGGAACAAGAAGCTAAGACACTTGATCCTCCAGGGAGGGTTTGGTTTGATTCTGGAGAGGAAGCAGAGCTACCTGCGTGAGTGCCCCGTTGATCCCGGGGTCAAGGGAGGAGGAGGAGCAGTTTTTCCTTTAGAAATGTGTTTTCCAAAGTAGGGATGCACCTAAGGGGTGCACTAGATGATCCTTTGACGTGTGGTAAGAAAATATTGGAACTTCTATTTATAGTTTAAAAAATAATCATTTTAAAATTTACTTTTCTGTCTGTGAATTATTTTTAATATACATATTAGTTCAATAGCCTAGACATAATATATAAATGTAAATATACATGCATTGAGGGTTCCATGCTTTTTTTTTATATATATATTGAGAGGTATAGCCAATAAAAATGGTTTCCAGAGACTGGAGAGTTGCCAGGTCAGGCGAGGAATCTGGAGCAGGCGGTAGCTGTTGGTGGCCCCTGCTGAGCATTCCTGGAAGTACTACATCACTCAGTACAGGGCCAGAGCTGGAAATTCCCAACAGGTGTTCTGAGTTGTATTTCTCTCTGTGCCCTGACACCCAAAGCCCTGGGATGAACACCTACCAGAGGAACACCTTGATTTTAGGGGAAGCAAAGAGACAGCCTGTATCCTTAAACCTCTGGGGTGGAGGCGGGGAGGAAGGCAGAGCTCATTACAGACCCTAGAAGGGGAAGATTCATCCTGCCACATCCCCATCCCCAGCCCACCCTGCTGGAGCCATGGGATGCATTGTGGACCCCTCGAATCTGCTTCCCTTCCCAGTTACTCTCTTTCTCACCAGTAGCACCTTTATTCTTTTGGGTCCCAGATCAGAACATTTACTGTATCTCTGTTAGGACATTCAGTTATACCACTAGAAAATACTTTTGGCGTCTTGACATCCCTATGCCGACCTCCACTCCAGACTGTGAGCTCCAAGAAACCAGGGATTACTGAAGCCGGCACCAAAGCTGCTATCTAACTCAGAATCACTGAAGCTGGCACCTGGTCTGGAACAGAATAGGAGCATCTTACTCTGCATCCAGAAAATTTTCTCCCAACTCTGTAACCTCATGGGGCTGTCGTGAGAATCAAATAACTTATCGATTGTAAGCTCCTGAACAGATGAGAGGAGATGGCATTCTACAAGGCCCTTAATAGAGAGATACTGTTGATTGACTAATGGGGGGAAGTGGCTTAAAGAATAATGAACTGGGTTCCACCTCCCTATGAGTTAGAATCTGGAATCCCACCTTGTTTGGGGGATCCTGAATAGAATTGAAACTGTGAATTGCTGCGGGGTAACATTTGCCTGATTGAGAAGTAATTAATGTTTAAGAGAGATTCAAGATCCTTCCACTTCCCCACTAAATGCGAATATTCGAGGAATTCCCTGCCCAGAAGTGGTCAGGATAGAGTGGAGGGTAACTTTCACAATGGGAAGGGGACTTCTTCCTGAGATGAATTAGGAGCATCTCCTGGTTTGAAGGCACAGGAGTTGGAAGCAGTATGCTCCAGGAAGCCTCTTCGGTCGGAAACCGAAGCCTGCAATTCCAGTCTCTGCCATCTGGGGTCGCCAACTTTCTTCTCCCTCGGTTAAGGCGTCGGGCATCAAAACTTCAGAGCTTTCAGTAAAGGGTGGCTTGGTTCTATGGTTTTCTCTTATATCTATACCCAAACCTATGCCCTCGGGAACTCAGAGGCTGGCTGAATCTCCAGGTTCCTAGGACCAGTTTCCAGCTTCTCAGATGGATTCCTAAGTCAAACCATTCCTGAGATTTCTAAGCAAATTTTCAGGATACAGTCCATTTCTGATATTGGGAGCCCAGCTAGCACGGAAGAGGGATAACCCCTGCGTGTTCCAGAGGGCAACTGGAGGGGGCGGAAGTTTACCCAAGCCACAGTAGTACCGGGGCTGGCCCCAAATGCTGAGCGAAGGGTGGTCTCCCGGAGCCTCCAGTATTCCCAGGCTTTACAGTATCTTTCACTAGCAGGTGTGAGGTGGAGCCGGAGGCTAGGCGAAGGCGGGAGACTGGGTTTAACCCTTTATTTACTTCTTGAGACGGGACTCTGAGGAAGGATAGCGAGATGCTTCTTTCCGTATTCCGTAGACAGCGGTATGAACCAGGTCTCTGGTCCAGGCTTAAAATAGGGTCTCGAACTCCTTCGCAAAGACGTTTCCCCTTCTGGAGAGTCGAGGATCCAAGTATCTACCATTCGAGTCCTTACAATTTGACTCTGAGCCTGAGCCCCTGTGGGGGTGGATCTCCTCCTTGGGGGTTTCCCTAAACTCCTCCGGTTCTCTTTCCCAATTGGGAAACAGCCTAACGAGGAAAAGTGAGGTACGCCTGCAACTGGAACGTGGGTCTAAGCGGAGATAAGTGGGCGGAGTAATCTTTCGCCATCGCCAGTTTAAGGGATCTCTGGGCGCGGAGGGACACCAGTGGGTTCAGGTCTCAGTCAGTGCTCCCCCGAGTGGGCAGCGAGCAGGGCCTCGTGGGCTGTGTGGAGTCTCTCAAACCGCCACCTCCCTGCCTACCCACTAGCTACTGGGAAAGACTACTTTCCTCTGGGTAGTCGCGCGGCATCCACATCCACCTCCCCTCCTTGTCCCTCCTCTCCCCTCGGTCTCCGCCCCCTCGCGCAAAGGAGGCCTTGCCGCTTTAAGAGCCGGGGTAGCGATTGACAGGCAATAAACGCGGAGTGCCGGGCTGCGTTGGAGCCGCCCCGAGCTAGGGGCTCCCCGGGCCTCAGGTAGGCGCACCCCGGTCAGCACCCACCCCAAGGTCCCTGTGTCCTCTACGTCTAGGCACAGCACTGGGGCCCTAGTCTCTGGATCCAGTCTCCTCCGGCCCCTTCTCCCAGGCCCGTCCCCTCCCTCTCCAACTCCAGCCCTCCCTCCACCTTTTCGGGTGCTCCTAGAGAGAGACCAAACCCCGCTGCCCATTGACGCTGGCCCCCGCCCCTGCGGTAAGGGCTGCAAAGTGACATCGGGCACAGAGCTGGTGAGCTGTGCGGAGCCCGGGTATCCGCGCAGCCTCTCCGGGGACCGTGCGGATTCGGGGGACTTCGGAGCCGGGCATTACGTAAGAACTGCGCTGTTAGCGCTTCCGGGGAGTAGGGGCGCGAGACAGAGGTTGCGCGGGTCCCGGTGGCTTCCCTGTCCCCTTGGAAGGCTAACACCTCAATCTTCTCTGGGAGGGGGTGTGGGAAGGGGCGAACTCCTTCTGCCTCCCAGGCTGGTGGAGAGGACGTGGGGGAGGCAGGTCGGGGACAGGGGCTAGTGTTAGGGCCTGGAGACCTAGGAGGGGATCGGTGCCAGGAGCCAGGAGCCAGGGTCAGAAAGTTAGGTCAACTAAGGGGGGCAGAGTGAGGACCCGAGCTGGGCGCAGGCATTCAGTGACCTCATCCTTTGGTCTCCCGCGGGCGCTCACGCAAAAAGCCTTCTTTGATGGCTAGCAACACGCCCCCCTCCCCCCGGGTCCTAGCGCCCAGCGTGTTAGGGCTGGGCTCTTGGGGCGGGGGCGTTCTGATTGTCATTGCGTGCAGTCCGCCAGGACTCTAGACCCCCATCCCTCAGTCTCTCTACCCCTCCCCACGACCTGTCGGTCTTCAAATCGCCTTTGTCAGACCTTTCTCCCCGCATCTCTTTGTATGTGTATTGATGGAGGGGTAGGTGGAAGGTTGGAGAAAATCTCCCCTTTTCACGGCTGGTCCGTATCACCCTCAGACCCTAGGTCATGCAGATAGCCTAGAGGTAGGAGAGGTCACCCGAGCCAAGGGTTTCGGAAGCCGAGGTGCGAGTTCCCAGATGCCTGGGCTCCGGACCTTGGCCCGGAGCCAGGCTGGTTTGCCTGGCACTGCTTGTTCTCCTGTGGGCACAGCTGGGCCCCGCCCTCTCGGAGGCTCGAGTGGGGGTGGGGCAGAGCTAACCGCTGCCGCGGGAACCGACTCACTAGGGAGAAAACCCAGACAGGCTAGGCAAGACTTCTGAGGACAGGATCCCCCCTGCCGCTTCCCACTCTCCGCCGTCTAGGGAAGGTGGAATCCTGGAGCCCCTCCGTCAGTACCTCTGTCACGGTGAGCAGCGCCAGCCTAGAGGAAGCTCCAGGTTCCAGGTCATCATGACCTGGGATGGGGAAGGAAAGGATCCCTCCTCACAGCTCTCTAGGAACAGAGACAGCAGGGGTTGGCACTGGGGGCACTCTCTGGCAAAGTGGATCCTGGGCATTGCTTCCAGCCTGGGTGCTAGCCTGACAGGGGGTGCCCTTCCTCTTCCTGAAAGCTGCTTTCTTTCACATACTTGGGGGCAGATCCAGGAGGAAGGGGAGTCGTCCCCCAACTTTGTAATTTGTTATTTCCAGCTCAAGCCTATCTAATTTTTAAATTAAAATTAGGTAGTGGTCCCTCTGAGAAGAATCCTTTCTTTGGGTGGGGGGAGTGAAGTTGTGGCTCCCTTGCCTGCTGGGCCCAGTAGGGATTCATTCCTAAAGTGGGCACTACCAGCTGCTTTCCTCTACTCCCCCAGCCCTGCTGTGTGTGAGCCACTGCCTCCTGTTGTCATAGCAACCGGGAATTAGGGTTTTCTCCAGCAGCACATGCCCAGGAAGGAAAAGGGAGAAAGGGTGGTGGGTTGCCCCCCGGCCCCTCCTCTAAAGAATGGGGGAATCAACCCCAGCTTTGGGAGGCCCTGGGATGGGAACTGGAACTATAAACTCCATACCTGGCTCTGCCCAGAACCTCCTACTCTCCTTGTCCCAGCTGTGGGCTAAGAAAGGGAAAAGGGGGAAAGAGGAAGCCAGAAAGGCCTTGGGGAGGTGTGACATCATTTCTGTCAGACAGACAGACAAATGTTTGTGGAGTATCTACACTGTGCTAAGCCTAGGATCCAGAGGCAAAATAAAACAGATGTGGTTCTTGACTTCATAAAGCTTACGGTCTGAGAACATCCATCTTTTCTGCATTTTACTCAAATTCTGTATTTTTACCCACCCCCTCTCAAAAAAAAAAAAAAAAAGGACATGGCAGGCAGGAACACGTAATTTTTTGTTAAGAGTCATAAAAGTTGGATTTTCATTGTAGCTCTCTTTATTAGCTTTGTGACCTTGGACAGATTAATCTCTCTGAACCTCTGTCTTCTCCTCCTTGGAGAAACGGGCATGAAATATCTGTTCTTCCTGCCTCTTAGGACTGTGAGATCATTCAGTTTTGGGCAATAGCCTCTTTCCTACCTTGTTGGCTGATCCTGAGGGAGGGCCCTCCTTAATTCCTTTCTATGGCTCTGTCCTTGCGCCTTCTCATCCTCCTCTCTCCCCTCCTCTAGGAGAGACATTTTCAGAGCCCTTATCGACTTCACCATGCCGGTTGCCGCCACCAACTCTGAGACTGGTAAGAAGTGGGTGCGGATATCTGTTTATATCAATGGTTCAGAGGGTGCTGGTAGGGTGGGGAGCAGCAGTTAGCTACTCCTACAGGTCCCTGTAAGAACAAACTGCCCCCACCACTGCTCCACCCAGCTAGCTACTCAGCCATTCATTCAGGCAGCTTCTATGGCCCTGCCACACCTGCCCCAGGATGGGGCTGGAGACACAGCACAGCTCACCTCCGTGGAGGGCAGGGGCATGCGTGCTTCAGATTTGATGTGCACTATTGCCCGAGAGAAATGGCATGGGGCCACGCTGGTTAGGAAGTGGCCCCTAGGAGCTGGGCCTTGGAGAATGGCTGGGGGTTACAGAGACTGCAGCAGCCCAGCCTGAGACTGAGAAGTCCGTGGTGCGTCGCTCACCAAACAGGTGAAATAGATCAGTGCGTGCTAGAGATGTGGTATGTGTTTGCTGAGGCACGAGAAGTTAAGCGTGGAGAATGCCAGGTCAAGAAACCTCACCTTGGTTCTGTAGGTTTTAGGGCAAGGGAGCGGACCACTCAGATAAGCTAAAAAGCCACAAGAGCAAACTGTTTAACCTCTCTGAGCCTGTATCACCTGTTCTGTAAAGAGGTTGATGGGAGACTCAAAGGCTGTGCTGGGAGAGTGTTACTGTTAGGAATATTCACAGTTATTCTGTGCTCCTGAGTTATTATCTCATTATCCTTGAGTCAGTCACTTCCCTTTTAGGACCTAAGTTTCCCCCACCTGTAAGATGAAGTGATGAGACAAGATCAGGGTTCTTAACTTCTGTTGGTTCTGGATTCCTTTGAGAATCTGATAACAGCCATGGGCCCTCATCATAGACAAATGCTTCTCAGCACAAAATCTGTATTCTACTCTGGAGTTCAAGGACCCCTTAAGTACATTCAGGAACATACCCGGTGAAGTTCTCTGTGCTAGAGGCTAAGGGCCCTAACAACCCAAAACCTCTCTGGCTTTGCTCTGATTTTTCTGTCTTTTCCCCTGCCTGGATGCTTTCCGCACCATGCAGCCCCTACCCTTGCTCAGGGTAATGCTTCTGCCTCTGCAAGATGTTCCCGGCTTCCCAATTTGATTGGAGTGACTGTTTCTCCCTCTGAGAAACTGAACCAGGAAAGTGAAGGCTGCTGTGAGGCCAGAGCCTAAGCTGTGACACACTTGTACCCAGGAAAAGCCTATTCTCCATGCAGTAGGGGGACTGTCCTAATGTCCCCTATTTTCTGCAGCTTTAGAGGGCTCAGTGCCTCCACCTCCTGTCCAGCCTGCTGGGCCTCCTGGGTCTCTCCTGCTCCAGCCTGCCTGGGCCATTACTGTAAGCTGCTTAGGGGTTAATGAAGCCCATCCCTGAGCCTGTGATTAAAGGCCTCTCAATCTGGGGCTGCCCTTAAGCCCATTAATAGTGCCTGGCAGGGGTGTAGAGGGAGAAGGAAGCCAATAAATTGGCTTTCTTGCTGCAGGCCTTGATCGGGGCATGGTGGGGTGGGTTGGAGGACAGCATGGGGACTGGAGCCCAGGGGTATGGCTATGGGGCCTGCTTCCTCTGAGGACTCCTGAGGTCCCTGCTTTCCTGGATGTTATGCCATGGGCTGCTTCTGCCTTCTGCTATCCAAAAGAGAAAGGATAGAAGCAAGCAGCTTAACCTCTTGGAGCCTGTGTTTCCTATTCTGTAAAGAGGTGATGTGTGACTCAAAGGCTTTGCGTCTCTTACCCCTTCCTGCAGGCAGCCCTCTGTGCCCACCCCAGACTGAATTGGCTCCCGGCTTTGAAAATCTAATGGTGGATTATGCCCCTGCTCATTTTGTGGCTATTACACTTCTTACAGGCCTGAGAGACAGCTACACCTCTCAGTATGAGGTCAGGTCCACCCTTTCCTTACCCTCTTCCTTCTTCGAGAGATCCCAGCCTTGGGCTCTGCAGAGAGTGAAGCTGGAAAGGTCCTTCTCCCGCCACCTTTCCATGGGTCACCATAGTCATCGTCATTGTGAAGATGAGAAAAATGGTGTGGGTGTATTCCTCTGCAGAGAGGGTTGGGGAATGGGTTGGTAGGTATGTGGGCTGATGGTTGAACTTGCCTCTGGTCTCCAGACCTGCAGCCTCCTCGCTCTCTCTTCCTCCTTCCCCTGACTCCCTTCTTTCTTTGAATCAAGGTGGGGATGTGGGCTGCTTTTAGGTAGAGCTGTCCCTTTAAATTTCTCTTGCATCCCGGGGTTAATGTCCTGGTGTGTAATCCCTCCTGTTGCCATGGTAACCAGGGGTGCACTGCAACCTGGTGCTACTCCTTAGGGACTGGCTGTTTGGTGGCAGCAGCAGTGCCTGGTGGTGGCCTCATGGGTACAAGGTTTCAGAAGAATGGAGGCATTGGGCTGGGGTAACTACCAAGTCTCTCCCTCCTGCCCACCCTTGTCCCCTTCCCCAATTCCAAGATGCCTGATCGGCCCCCTCAGGTGTCACCCCTCACCCAAGGGGAAGAGCTAATAGGAGATGGGGGTGGAGAAGAAGGTGCTGCTGAGATGTGGGGGTAAGAAGGGCTTGGGATACCCTTCCCTGCCCACAGTGGTACCACCCCCCGCACACACACACTTTTTCTCCGTGTTCTTCATGCCTCGACCCCCATGGATGGCAGCTAGCAGGAATTATTCGGGGTCTGAGGTACTTGTCCCATTCCACACTATTGCTACTGTTCCCGGTGGAGGATCAAGAGTCATTCTTGGGGGCTTCCTTTGATCCTAAGGGGACCTTTGTAAAAAAAATTGGGCCTGGAGAGGGGTCAAAGAGTAGAGGTCGGAGGGCAGGGGAGAGGTAGCGTGGGGGTATATTAGAGAAGGTACCTTCAAGAGAGTGGAAAGGAAAAAGGTGGGACCAAGTCCCCAAGGTGAGGCCAAGTCCCCATCCCCCTTGGGCTCACTGCAGCTGGACTGTGAGGGGAGGGTCTCTGAGCACCACCTCACATCTGAAGGGGCAGCTTATTTAACCCCGCTCTCCCTTCTCTCCGCCTCCTTCTCCCCACCCCCACTGGCTGGGATTGTACCGAGGGGCTAAGGCCAGCCGTAGGACCTGGACTTTCTCTTCTACCGCCCCCGACCCACCCATCTGTTTTGGCCAATCAGTAAGGCGGCTGAGCCTTGCTATTGGCTGATCCTTCAGAGGGTGCTCTCTGAGTCCCGCCTCCTCCAGCGCTACCGCTTCTGGCTCGGAAGGTGGCCCATTATCGAGTGGAGGCTACTCCGGGAATCCCCGGCCGGCCGGGGTTGGGGGGCAGCCATGGCGGGCAGCCCAGGCAGCAGGGCCTCCTTGGAGGGCATATCCCTGGGCTCCTCTGAGGAAGCTGACCTCCGGAGAGAAGGGAGGGAAAGACCGGGCTGGGAGGCTGGAGGAAAAGCTGGCCCTACGGGGTTCGGGGCATCTGGAGAGGGTGCCCTAGGAACGGACTTCCGGGAGACTAAGGGTCTGGTGGCACAGCCCACCAGGAAAGCTGGCCTAGACCGAGGGTGCCAACTACCCTGGCTCAGTCCTCCCTCATGGCTAGCAGGTGTGGGACTCAGTGTGTGAGGATGACTGGGGAGTGTGGACTCCAGGATACCCTGCAGAGTGGGAAGGGTCCCTGCCCAGGCCTTTCTGAGCCCTAAGGGCCTTGCAGTTCTCCCACCAACGCCAAGCCCAGGCCTGGGCAGAGGGGCTTGGGCGAGGGACTGGGATCTTGCTTCTGGAGAAGGTGGGGTGAAGGGGAAGAGGGTAGGAGTACAGGAGTCTCTGAACCATGTTTGCCAGGTCCAGTTTCAGTGCCCCCTCCTCCCCATCCCCATTCCTTCCTGGAGGAGGGGGTGCTGACGAGAGCTATGAGAGACGCCAGGGAGGTGTCTACCCCTCCTCCAGGGTTTGGGAGCTGTTACGCAGATGTAGGCGTGGGTGGCAGGATGGCAGTGTAATGATACCCCCTGCCCATCTCTGCCCCCAGCTGGGTACAGTCTGCTTCTCCCTTCCTCTCCCTCCCCACCTCGAACCTTCACAGCCAGGAGCTTCTTCCTCTGCAGGTGGGTGACCACAACCCACCTCAGATCTCACCGCCAAGGCTGGGGCCTAGTGTCAGGTGTTCTCACATCCTTGGCTACGTCCTGTCCCAGGCTGAGGATCTGTTGATCTTGGTCTGACTTCTGCCCTTGGGAACCCACAGCCATCCCAGGCCTCTGGGTGCCTGTTTTCCCAGCTCCTGCCAGTGTTCTGAGCCTCGGCTTTGGCTTCCTATGATCTATATTAATTTCTCAATAATTATAGATCATTGTCTGTCAGAGTTGAAGGTCCTGTAGACACCATCTAGTCCAACCCACCCATTTTACAGGAGGGAAAGTCTGAAGCCAGTGAGGGACAGTGACTTGTGCAAAATCATACCGAGTTCGTGGCATAGCTTATACTAGATGCTGCATAGGCCCTGGCTTCCTGCATAAGCTGCCTGCTTGACTCTAGGCCTGCACTCAGGGGCAGGCTCCAAGCACCGTTTCTCTCATTCCTGAGTCAGCCAGGTGCAGGTGGCTAAGTCCTGGGGTTTCAGCCCATCTGGAGGTTGAGTGAGGAACCTGTGGTTCTCAGGTTCAGGGCAGAACCTGGAACCTGACGCCTGTCTCCCTTTCTCCTCTCCCCTCACCTCAGAGTCCACTTCATGCTGCCTGGAGCCTCCCACGTGCCCAGGCAGGCATCACTTAGGGCCTAGAGAAACTCCCCACTTTTCTCCTAGGGCCCCTGCCCCAGGCATTCCCATGCCTGGCAGGGAAGGAAGTGCTGCTGGGGAGGGGCTTATCCTCTGTGGGATGTGGGATGGGGGGCTGGAGTTGCCATGATGTGTTTTGGTCTCCTGTGCCCAGCTGTGTGTCTCACTGCCCACTCCTTTGCCCCAGCCATGCAGCAAGTCCTGGACAACCTGGGATCCCTCCCCAATGCCACGGGAGCTGCAGAACTGGACCTGATCTTTCTTCGAGGCATTATGGAAAGTCCCATAGTAAGATCCCTCGCCAAGGTATAGTGCTCCAGGGAGGCGGGCACGAGCACACTGTGTCTGGGGAGGCGCAGTGGGGGATAGGGTGTTAGTCACACGTGGCTCCGGGAATGGGGCGTGTGGCACAGGAGACCCCTGGGGGGGTATGCATGAGCATCCATGCCCAGATGATGAACCTGAGCAACTGCATGTGGGGCTGCCCTGTGCCTGACTGATGAGTGTGAGGATATGCCCGTGTGGATAGGTGTTTGGTGACTGCCTGCCTGTGGAGGATGTGATGGGAGGGGGTGAGCATGCCTGTGCACTCAGATCTCCAGAATCCATCCTGTCTGTCCCTCTATTGTTGGGCGTTTTGTGCAGATGTCTTTTCAAGCTCACCTGCCATTCATCGGGTGGGGAAAAGACTAAAAGAGAAAGTTTTAAAACGATCGGGTAATGGCAGTGATAGAGGCAGATGCATTAAGCCTTTTGGAAGCATAAAGGACAGATGCCTAACCCAGTCCAGAGTGGGCAGGGAAGACTTCCTGGAGGAAGGGCCACTTGAGCTGAGTCTTGAAGAATAAGGAGAAGGGGGAGGACATTCTGGGCTACAGGAAGAGCTTGAACAGAATCAAAGATGAGAAAGAACCAGAGGCATATAGGGAACTGTAAATGTCTCTGTGAGGCTGGAGCTTCGGGTGTGAGACAGAGAGTGTGAACTGTGGAGACACCGACAGGCGGTAGAGGGCTCTGGGGGCTGTGCCTGGGTGCTTGGGCATTGTCCTGTGAGCAGCATGGAACTTTTCATGAGTTTTAAGCAACAGTGTGATGACGGCACGTGGACATTTCAAGAGCATCCCTCTGGTAGCCACATGGAAGATAGATGGAGGGTCTTGGCCGGAGTTAGAGAGATGGTCCTGAACTAGACCTCTGGTAACAGGGTTTGAGGGAGGAGAGGATGAAAGAAATATTTAGGAAGTAAGCTGGCAGTGCTTGGTGTTGGTTGTGGAAGGTGAGGGGTGGAAGTAGCAAGACACGCAGGATTCTGCAGAGAGAAAGTGTGGGGCTGGTGCTGCCCTCAGCTGAGAGAAGAAGCACGGACGGACAAGTGCGGGGACACGTGAGGAGGGAGCCCCCTCTCCTGAAGAGAAAAGAAGACGAGAATGGTACCAACAGCTGTGTTGGAGGCAAGACTGGGAGGTGCATGGAATCATGCCTAATTGCTCAGGTTTCCCAGGGGAGATAGGGCAGTTCTCTGCTGGGAATTAGAGATCAGAGGCTGAGTATGAAGGTGGGGGCGGCGGGCAAGGGTTTGAAGTAAAGTTTCAACTAATCACTGAAGGGAAGGAGAGAGGGAACCCACGAAAGCCAGGGAGCAGGATCGACATGGCTTAGACTATCTAGTGCAGTTGCCGGATTTTCTAGATGAGGGTGGTTCAGTCCAGAGACGCAGAGATAAAAAAGGTGGCTTCGGTTCAGAGCTTGTACTGATGGGGCTGTGGAAGGCTGTGAGAGGCTGACATACGGGGGCCATCGTGAAGCGGACAGGTGAGAACGACTCAGAACATCACCTCTGGGGCCTAGGCTGGGAGGGGAGGGGACCAGGTGGGGACAGAGAGGCAGGGAGAAAATGGAGGTAAAGGCCTGAGGGGTCTCTGAGGTCACAGTATTGGGGGAAAGAGCATATAGCTGGAAGAGAAGAAAGCCAGGTCAGAGAGAGGAAGGTAGGAGGACAGTTCTGGGGGATGACGTGACAATCTAGGATCTTGCCTCAGTGGACAGGAGGTCATCGATGTTAAAGAGTTCCAGGAATGGGAGGCCCACGTGTGGGATGGGGGTGGTCTACACGGGCATTGGAATCTCGGGTTACAGCAGGCATTGGGGAGGGGAGGACTGAGACAGTCCCAGGGTCTTCAGTGAATGGTGGCGGGGGTGACCAGGAAGTTGGCAGTATCTTCGATTGCAAGGAAGGAGAATATGATATATCCAAGTGTGGGGGGCGGGGGTTCACAAGGTGGGGGTGGGGACTGTCACAAGCCAGCTGTGGCCGGCCCCGGCATGGGGTGCAGAAGGGGACCAGGCCCCACTGGAGAGAAAGAGCTGCCACAGGGGACGCCATGTCCCAGGGACACAGCCTGGTCATGATATCACCTGTGGGATGGTTAAGACCTAGGGAGGTTGTTAATGAGGAAAGACGAAAAGTGTGAGAGGGTTAATAGTGGGAGGTTCTGGGGAAGAGAAAACCGAGCAGATTGGACGAGATTGGAGAAAGGCAGCTCGCTTTTCATGCGGTGGCCAAGGATTGTATTCATGTGTTAAAAATAAAAACAAGGAATTCGGCATGTTTCAAACAGAATGTGAGCTTCATGAGAACAGGGATCTCTCTTTGGGTCCCTATGTCCTGAGAGCCTAGAACAGTGCCTGACACATAGTAAATGGTCACTGAATATTTGTCGAATGACTGAATACAAGAGTTTAGAGCATAACATAGCAGACCTCTGAGCACCCATCTCTACGATGTGGATTCTGGCCATATTTGCTTTAACTCTTGCTCTTCGTTTTTGAAGTGAAAAGGATGATACAGGTAATGCCTCTCCCCTTTTGCTCATTTCCACTGGTTTCCCTCCCCAGTGGTAACCACCACTGGCTTGAGGATGATAATGTCATACCTCTAAACTGCATATCTTGCCTACGTATGTGTTTAGCTGTAAACAATGTGCCCCTGTTATATGAGTTCTTAAACTTTATATAAGAGAATGATAGTGTAAGCTGCTTAGGTTTTTTAATTCATATTAGTAGTATAGTTATTGACTGAAGTATATAGATTCACTTTAACCATTGTGTGGTTTTCCACTATGTGAATAGAGCCCAATGTGTGTGTTTATTGGTTCCCTTGAGGGCAGGTACGTTGTTGCTGCTGCAGCGCATACCCTCACATCCATCTGCTTCTGCATGTGTGAGGGTGGACACTTGGCAATGGAATTTTGAACCTCAACATCTACAACCTTCCAAAGCTGATTTCAGAGTTGGATTTGTTAGACCACATCGTCTCTGTGTCACTTGAGCTATTGCTTCTACAGTGAGACGGCCAATGAAATAAGGCGGGTCTTGCAAGATGGCAGGACCTCAGGGTTAGAAGCCAGCCTTCTTCGAAGCAGGATCCCCTTTAATAGCCTTCCTCTCTGGGGGCTTTGTCTAAGCTATTTGATGGCTCTCCATTGATGGGATTGCTGGCTGGCTGCCTCCGTCATCCATTGTCATTCAGTCATCCATCATCTGTTCAACAAATATCTATTGTGCACTCACCAAGTACCAGGCACAGTGCTGGGTCTATGGCAATGAACTGTCAGATAGTTTGTTCTTTTCCTGATAGAGCCCAAGTCTGTCATTTCCTCACTGAGCCCTGCAATGTCCCAGTCCTGGGACCTCATAGTACAGCCTAATTGAGAAGTTACCAATGTGCCATATCTGAGTAAGTAAATTCCCTTCTCCAGAAATGTTCTTGGGGATAACCTGGTCTGAATTTCCTCCTGGGAAATGCCTAGTATGGTTTCAGATGCGTAAAGTACAATAGAAGATGGTGTGGACATTTCCTTACTCTGAGGCCTCCAATCAGAGGCGCACAGGCTAAGGGAACCTCGTGACTTCTCTCCCTCCAGTTGTGGGGAAAAGAGGGAGTGAATCTCCATACAGGCCTGTCTGTGCTCAGTGAAAGCCCTCCCATCCCTGTAGGTGTGACCCTTTGCGATGTAGCTTTGCCGCTTCTCTCATCAAAAGGTAGAGTCTCCACCTGGGTTTGACCATGAGACTTGCTTTGGACAACAAGACCTACTTCTCACTCTTTCTGACCAATTTCAATGATTATGTATACAGAGATACATTTCTAACCTAATAGACAAAGTTCTTTGATCACAAATCCAGCTGTAGAAACTTAGTTCTCCTGGCGAAGTGGCTCAGAAACCCTCAGGGACAGAGTCAAGGTGGAATCATGTGTGGTAGCTATTCTTTTTTTACCCTTACAGACTTGGACTTGACTCTCCTCTCTGGGGATGTGGCAGACAGTGTGGGAGGGGCCAGGCTGGGTAGATCTAGGACCAGGGAGGGGCAGGACTTGAAGGGACAAACTCAAAGAGTTAAAGGCTCTGGAGGGAAGTCAAATCTTTTCTTGATCCACAAAATCACGAGAAACAAATCATGGCTGTTTTAGGCCATATGCATTGGGATGGTTTGCTACACAGCAAAGGCTCATAAATCATAAATCCAGGGGTTTGGCTATGGATAACAGGTGGCAGCCCTGGCAGGTTGGTGGCATCTGGGAGGGCTGACACAGATTCAGCAGCAGGTGTTCCAACAAAAGGCAAGGCTAAGGTAAGGAATCCAAGGCAGGTGACATTTAGAAATTCAGACCAACTGTTACCAGTGGAGACATCTGCCAGCTGGGAGGCATGGGAATTAATACATGTGAGATGAAGAAGAAAGAACACAGGATTTGGAGTCAGAAGATTCACCGGCTGGCTGTGTGACTTTAGTATGTCTGACAACTAATCTGAGCTTCAGTTATTTCTTCTGAGAAGTGGGGATCATGATGCCTATCTCTCAGAGTAGTGGTGGGCATATGGGGAAGTCATATGGAGAAGTCATGGGTGTGGAGGTGCTTTTTAAATGATAAAGAGTTGTGATAATGTAGTCTCGGCCATTGGACTGGAGCTCACAGGGAGGACTCCACACCTGTAGTGAAGCTGGAGTGAGATGGCAAAGCAAGACAGGGCCCTAGAAGATGTCACTAAGAGACTGACCAGTGGACATAACAAGCAGAAGCTACAATAATAGGGAGCCCAGTGTATCAGCCTTCGCTGTGTAACAAACCATCCCAATGCATATGGCCTAAAACAGCCATGATTTGTTTCTCGTGATTTTGTGGATTCAGTGGGTGGTCTTTCTGTTCTGGGCTCTGGGATTGCCATCCTCACTCAGCTGGGAAGTCTGCAGTATCTAGGTTGAGGGACTGCCATGTTTTTTCACATGGCAGTCTCAGCAACAAGGGAGGACAAACTCCAAATCCCAAACACTTTCCAAGCCTCTGCTTGTATCACATTTGCTAATGTCCTATTGGCCAGAGGAAATCACATGGTCAAATCCAGATTGAAGAACGACATTACCTTCTGGCACACTGCTCTCTGGGACTTCTTTCAGTTTTGAACTATTTCATTATGAGCCTGGGTTTCAAATGAGAATTCTCTGTCTCTTGCCAAGCTTAAAGAGGTTGGAGTGGGAGGGCAGAGGGAAAACCTTTCAAAGAAATAGCTGTGTGTCATTTCTGCCTTTGCAGTCAGCTTATGGCTCTGGATCAGGAGCTGGAAGGTCTGGGTTCAAGTATAGGCTCTATTATTAACTAGCTGTGAACCTGGCCCAAGCTTCTGGTCCATAGTGAGCTTGAGCCCCTGCTATGCCAATGATGATTTTCAGAGCAGAATTAAACAAATGGTTACCATAGACATTCAAAGCCACTCTGCTGGTTGTGGAGCCTGATGCCTCTAACATTGCAGTAAGTGCTGTACCAGGAACATGCTCTCTAAAAAGAGGTGCCCAGATAGTGACACCACAGCTGCGGGGGAGCTCAGAGAGTCAGGAGACTTTGACTGGGGTCCCTGGTATACACCGATGAGCTGCATGTTGCTAAGGAATTCATTTTACCCATTCAAGCCTCAGATACTTTATTGGGAAAATAGCTTTAATATTACTAATCTCACAGTGTCGTTGTGACTTTTAAATGGGATGATATTTTGCCAATGTGTTGCTTCACCATTGGACAGGCATATATCCCATGGCCCAGCAATTTTGTTCCTTGGAGAGATTCTCACATGTGCACCAAGAGACAAAGACTGGAATGTTCATAGCCTCACTGTTCACAATGGCAAAAATCTGAAATGATCCAGATGCCTCCCAAGAGCAAAGAGATGAATAAAATATGGGGTAGTCACACAATGGAATCCAATACAGTGGTTAAAATGAATGAACTAATGCGATAAGGGAAAAAAGAATGAATCTTAGCAAAATAATGCTAAGTGAAAAGTAATAGTAAGTGAAATAAAATGAAATACATTGTTTCTTAATGTGAAAAGGGAAAGTAAATCTTAGCAAAATAATAGTGGGTAAAAACAGTAAGTGAAATAATGTTAGTTGAAAAATTATATTAAGTAAAACAATATTAAGTGAAACTTTATTAATTTAATAATAGTAAATGGAAAAATTCAGGTCCCCAAGGATTTTATATATAGCATAATTCCCTTTTTTTAAGGTAAAAATAATAAAAAATAATATCCATTCTAGGACTATGTAGAATACATACAGATACACTAAAACTATGTAAAATGGGAAGCCAGAGCATGAGGAACACTGGGACTCAAGATGGTTGTTTCTGTGAGTGGATGGGTGGGTGGAGCATGTGATTAGATGTAGGATATTGTCAAATCCCTATTTATGTTTTGAGTGGTGGAGTCTGAGATCCTTGTTATATTATTACGAAATCATCTAAATACCAACTAACTGAAAGGAATCCATGCACAAACCAATGATGAGAATATTATCATGAACCAAGGATATGATGAATCCAGTTCTGAGTTTCCAAAGTCCCAGAGAAGTGTGTTGAAATTGTGATACAGGTTGGGCGTTCTCAGCCCTCTTCAATCAGCTGTTTAGATCAGCCTGGTGTAGTGTTTCTTTTGTATTTGAATGATTAAATGTTTAAAGTTTCCTCTGGGCTGGGAAGGTTGAGCTTGGAGAACTATGCTTTTGTATGTGTGGGTAAGGTGTCCAGTGGCAGCTACAGGAGGAGGAAGGGATCAGCCTGGGAGAGGAGTCATTAAATCAAAGATGGGAGTTAAGTGGCTTGGGAGATGCCTTGGTCAGGCGAGGGCTCCTAGGGAAACTTGTCCTCCCCAGCAATGGAGCAGAAGATGCTGAGGCTAAAATGGGTGACCTCTATGCTCACGTCATGTCACTTGGGCCAGACTAGCTCCTTTAACTTGAAAGAGTCTGGTCAGGGTCACCATGGTGATACAGTGACATACCTGAGTACCTTTGTTCATTCTTGAAACAGTTCTTGGGGCCTCTGACTCCCAGCATTGACTTGAACACAGTGGTGACACAGAGCCAGGAAGCTCCGTGGGCTGTGCTGAGCTAAATGACTGGGGATCACACGGGGTTTGGTGGAAGCTTCTGGGGCCTGTCCCTGCCCGCCAGCCTCTGGGGAACATCAAGGCATGACGGCCTCTGAGTGCTGCTCCTTTTCGCCTTCAATTGTCTGTTTCCCCAGCAGGAGCACTCTGCCGAGCCAGGCCGTGGGAGTCAGTCTGAAGTGCTGCCCACCTGGTAGGGAGTGGTTTAGGTGGCAGTGGGGTCAACGTGCCTCCTCATGTGGAATGCTATTCCCCTGGCCTGTTTGGGGAAGACAGGACAGAGAGGAGCTAGCCTTTATGGAGCACCTGCTGTGTGTCAGGCACTGTGTCCCTCTCACCGACTCCTCAGAGTAGTATCCCTGAGAGGTGTTATTAAAATCTCCTCATTTCGTGCACTTGAAAAACTTTCTCTATGGAAATTTTAAAAAAATGTCTCCTGAACCTCCATCATCCATTGTCCCTTTCAACATTTAACAACTTATAAACAGCCCTGTTTTATACACATCTCCTCCTACTTCCCTGTCTCATGAATTATTTTGAAGCAAATCTCAGCCATAATTTTGTTTGTATTTCAGTACGTATAGCTAAAAGGTAAAGATTCTTTAAAAAGTAGTCATACTAGCATCACACATAGAAAATCAGACAATTATTTTCTTATGGATTTTTTTAAGGCAGAAAGTGGAGGCCCTTATTTATTGGATTAATTTGATTTATGCGTTAGTCTGTGCCACCCTTCAGGTTTCTTTTTTTTAAGCATTTTATTTTATTGTAGTTTCAAGTATACAGTACATTGGTTAGACTTTATATAGTTTATGAAATGATCCCCCCGATGACTCTATCGTCCCTCTGGCTCTGCACACAGCCATTACCTTACTGCTGACTGCATTCCCTATGCCGTGCGCCCCATCCCCGTGATCATCTCTCAACCACTAATTGGCACTTCTTTGACCTTTCACTGCTTTCTTCTAGTCTTATGGATTTTTAATAAATGGTATCGGGAATGCCTGGATAGTCATTTGGAAAGAAATCAAAGTAGATCCATACCTCACACCATAGATCAGAAAAAACTCCAAGCACATCAGAGATCTAAATGTGAAAAAAGAAACCATACTCGTGCTAGAGAAAACATGGATCTGTGTGGGGAAAGCTTTTTTTTTTTTTAACTATGCTGCAAAATTCAGATGCATAAAATATTAATAAATTTAATTATACCAAATATATGTATTTTGCATTGACAAGAAAACCATAAGCAGAGTCAACAGACCGATGACAAACTGGGGGAAAATATTTGTAAGAGATAACACAAATAAAGGGCTTATTTTCCTAACATAGAGAATATTTAAAAAATGGGAAACAGAACAAACCAAGACCTGATAGAAAAATTGGCAGAAGACATGAACAGACAATTCACAGAAAAAGATATGCAGATGGCCCTTAAATGTATGAAGGGATGCTCAACTTCTCTCAATAAGCAAATGCAAATTAGGCTCCACCAAGAGATCATTTCTCATCCATGTGATTGGCAGACTTTCCAAGATTTGATCACACACTCTGGTGGGAAGGCTTTAGGAAAGTCATCCAATGCTAGTAGGAAGGCAAAGCAGCCCAAGCCCCATGGAGGAGAGTTTGTCAATATCTTTTAAAAAATCGTCTAGGTATTTACTGCTTGACCCAACAAGACTTCTAGGAATTTACATGGAAGACCTCCAAAGATTCAGAACAGCTATGCCAGTATTATTCACCACAGCTTTATTTGCAATAGTAAAATATTAGAAACAACCTAAATACCTGTGGAGACTGAATAAATTATGGTACTCCAGTTGTGTGATGAGTCAAATGCAGTAATTTAAAATAATAATAATAATAATAATAATAATAATAGTAATAATAATAATAAAGGAAGATCTCCACATTGCAGCATAAACCAAACCAATTAAACAAACAAAAAAACCCAAGGTATCAAAGAGTGTATATAGCGTTCTACTTTTTATGTAAGGCTCTAAGGTAAGGATTTGGGGATGGGAGCTGCCTGAGGGCAGGTGGTACCCAGGGCTCCGTTTGGTACCCCAGGGCTCTTTGGGAAGCATCAGGTCTTACCTGTTACACCTCCACCACCAGGCCCATGAGCGGCTGGAGGAGACGAAGCTGGAGGCGGTTCGGGACAACAACCTGGAGCTGGTGCAGGAGATCCTGCGGGACCTGGCGCAGCTGGCGGAGCAAAGCAGCACAGCCGCGGAGCTGGCCCGCATCCTCCAGGAGCCCCACTTTCAGGTTCCCTTCCGTCTTGAGTGGCGACTGGGGCAGGCCATTGGGGGAGGGGCCGACAGGAAGTTGGAGCAGGGGTGGGAAGGGACCGCGGGGCACTGCCCCTTAGTCCCTCCTCTTCCCACCACCTCCCCAGTCCCTCCTGGAGACGCACGACTCTGTGGCCTCGAAGACCTATGAGACACCACCCCCAAGCCCCGGCCTGGACCCCACGTTCAGCAACCAGCCTGTGCCTCCTGACGCTGTGCGCATGGTGGGCATCCGCAAGACCGCTGGAGAGCATCTGGTGAGAGTGCAGGGCAGGGCCAAAGGTGGGGTCCGCAGTGGGGATTGAGAGTAACCAGCGGGGGTCAAACCCGGTCAGGAGAGGGCTGAAGATGAAGATGGGATCAGCTTTGCCCAGGGACCGGCCCATGCAGACCTAGGAGACTGCAGACACTGGGCATATGAGGGGCAAACATACATGTGCCAGAACCCTCTTCATTCTGCCCACTTTCCCTCCTTTAGTGCTCCTGTAAATGAAGAGTGGGGCATCAGGATGGAAGAGGAGAAGTCTGTGAGGGCGGAGTGGAAGGGTGAAGATGGGAATGGGGGGCGGGGGCTGGAGATTTCAATCGAAGGTTCTGACATGGAGCAGTTGAGGCCTCATCATACCTGCCCTCGGTTCCCAGGGCGTGACGTTCCGTGTGGAGGGCGGCGAGTTGGTGATCGCGCGCATTCTGCACGGGGGCATGGTGGCTCAGCAAGGCCTGTTGCACGTGGGCGACATCATCAAAGAGGTGAATGGGCAGCCTGTAGGCAGTGATCCCCGCGCGCTGCAGGAGCTCCTGCGCAGCGCCAGCGGCAGCGTCATCCTCAAGATCCTGCCCAGTTACCAGGAGCCCCACCTGCCCCGCCAGGTGGGTACCTCCACCGAGGTCCCCACTCAGCACAAAGCCCAAGGGGGAGCTGAACCTCAGTTGTCAGAGTCACAAGTCTCGGGGTGGGAGCCCCTCCTCTTCAACCTGAGCTCAAAGCAAGATAGGGGGCGGGGCTTGTGGGGCGGGGCGGTGACAGGCCTCTGCGCTTATTGCGTATTGCACCTGCACACGCTTGCGCATTTGCCCTAGTCTTGGGTACTCATGCACAAGTGCAAGGGATGTGAGTGCATTCAAAGCTTGGTATACTCATTGTATACCAGAATATACAATGAGAGTCTTCATTGTGTGTAGCTGTCTACATGCCTAAGTGTATGCATGAGTGCGTAGAGTCGGATCGCCGGGTATCCTGTACAGCTGCCTCGGAGTTGGTGGACTGTGGAGGTCTGGCTGCTCTGCCTACTTCTATTGGCTTTCTAGCTGTCTGCCAGAGCCCCTTCCTCCAAAGAGGGAGGATGTGAGTGGATGGGAGGGATCCTGCATTAGGTGCCAAAGTGGAGTCTCTTGCTGGGTGATCCCCCTCCTCGGTGGGTGGGGCCAAGGCGCCAGGCCTGAGCAGATTCCTTATCCTGTCTGAGTCCTTTCAGTTCTAGATGCAAAGGGAGGCTGGTGGCAGGGAAGCCGGCCAGGCCTGGGGGCATCATGCCTTTAGATAGGCAGTGTCAGGGCCTCTGTCATCTTTGTGGGGAGGAGGCAGAGGGTGGGCTGTGTGACGTTCTCTCCACTTGGGGAGAATGGAAGAAGGCATGTCCCTTCCAGCCTTCCCCTGCTTCCTTTGACACCCCCCTTCCTGACACTGATCCCCGGCTAGGTATTTGTGAAGTGCCACTTTGACTATGACCCAGCCAGAGACAACCTCATCCCTTGCAAAGAAGCAGGCCTGCGGTTCAACGCTGGGGACTTGCTCCAGATTGTAAACCAGGATGATGCCAATTGGTGGCAGGTGAGCCCTGGGTGCCCATGTAGTCTCTCCAGGCATGGTGTGTGGGAAGTGTCCTCTCACTCAGGCAGTGCTTTGCCCATGTCCATTTCAGGCATGCCACGTAGAAGGAGGCAGTGCTGGGCTCATCCCCAGCCAGCTGCTGGAGGAGAAGCGGAAAGCCTTTGTCAAGCGGGACCTGGAGCTGACACCCACCTCAGGTATAAGCCACGTTCCCCCACAATCTGGATGTGACTGGTCCCTGCCTGGCCTCACCTGCTCATTTCTCTGTGGCCAGGGACCCTATGCGGCAGCCTTTCAGGAAAGAAAAAGAAGCGAATGATGTATTTGACCACCAAGAATGCAGGTGGGTGTTGGAGGCCCCCTCCCCCTCTCTCTAATATGGCACGTCCCCTTCCTGCCAACAATATGCTCTCCTGGTTCTGATGCTGCCAGTCTTGTCTCTAGGCCCTGCGCAGTCTCTCCTTGCTGCCCCTGTCCCCTGCGATCCCAACCCCACCCCCTCCACCTGACAAGCAGTGCCATCTCCTTGTGTCCAGAGTTTGACCGCCATGAGCTGCTCATTTACGAGGAGGTGGCTCGCATGCCCCCCTTCCGCCGGAAAACCCTGGTGCTGATCGGGGCTCAGGGCGTGGGCCGGCGCAGCCTGAAGAACAAGCTCATCATGTGGGATCCAGATCGCTACGGCACCACGGTGCCCTGTGAGTGGGAGCTGGGCCCTGCTGGGTGGGGGGCAGGGAGCAGGGGATGCCTTGGGGGCCAGAGCTGGGTCTGCTGAATGGGTATCTATATGAAAACCCGGTGTGAGGTATTGGGCATGCGCCCTCTCTGGGCTAGTGGGGGGAACTGCAGGCTGGGGAGGTTTTGGCGGAGCTGTTTCCGGAACCTGTGGCCGGGTGGGCTGGGCCAGGCCAGCTTTGCCTCTCCTTCTTTCGTGTTTCACTTGCTAAAAGCCCAGCTGGGAACCCATGTGAAATAGGGCTAGCCTTGTGGAAGGCTGGGCTTCTTGGTGATAGAACCCAGCTGGGGTGGTGAAAGCTTCTGGTTCCTGGAGGTAGGAACCTAAATGCTGACCTTAGGTCAGCTCGGCCTTGCTGTGTGGCTTTGGGATGCACATTGCCCTCTCTGGGCCTTAGCTCCCCACCTGTGAGCACTGGGTTGAAGCAGTAATCTCTGATGTTTCTCCCAATATGGACACCTCAAGTCTCTGTGCACCAATGGTGAGGGTGAGGGCACAGTGCGTGGGAAGACAGCAGTGCTGAGAAGATGGAGGGCAGGCTGTACCCCCAGGGCTGTGTGACACACACAGAACACGCTCATGTGGTGGTGTGGCCTGCCTGAGCCTATTCAGTCCCTCCTTCCCTCTAGACACATCCCGGAGGCCCAAGGACTCAGAACGGGAAGGCCAGGGTTACAGCTTTGTGTCCCGAGCGGAGATGGAGGCCGACATCCGTGCTGGGCGCTACCTGGAACATGGCGAATATGAGGGCAACCTGTACGGCACACGTATCGACTCCATCCGGGGCGTGGTTGCGGCCGGCAAGGTGTGCGTGCTGGATGTCAACCCCCAGGTACCGTGGCCCACTCTTTTTTTCCCCTGTGGGTGTTCTGCTTCCCCTTGCTCTCCCCCCTATATTTCTAGGCACTTGTCTCCCAAGCATTCCCATATAACCTATCAACTACTGCTAGGGACCCAGCCCACCCGGACCCCTTTTCTCAGCCTCCTGGACCCCCACTCCTCTAATCTGCTTCAGTTACCCCAATCCCTAGCTACCTGCCAGCAATTTTTCTACCATTCATCTCCAGGACTCATGTCCCAGAACCCCAGCTACCCCTTTCTCATCCATTCCTAGGTACCCATCCTCACCCCCATCACCCTAGATGTACATGGGATGTACTCCCCGACTCTCCTGTCCTTCTGCAGGCAGTGAAGGTGCTGAGAACAGCTGAGTTTGTCCCTTATGTGGTGTTCATTGAGGCCCCCGACTTTGAGACCCTGCGGGCCATGAACCGGGCCGCACTGGAGAGTGGGGTGTCCACTAAGCAGCTCACGGTGAGGGGCTCTGAGATGCAGCGGGAGGGGTCTGATGGCTGCCTGGGGTGGGAGGGGGCAGGCCAGAGAAGAAGAGAAGAAGGTGGTATTAAGGAAGGGGAGAGGTGCCCACCCAAGGTATTAGTGAGGGAGGACTTGCGATTCCTGCTTTATAGGTGTGAGCAAGGAAGTAAAGTGCCCAGATTCTCACAGAGTCAGGGACACAGCTAGCCCTGAGAGCAGGAGCTTCTGCCAGGCCCACTGCTTGGCCTACTCTGTGGGGACAGAGTACTGACCAAAGGGAGCCCAGAGGGACAGTAGATCTGTGGGCAGAGGCGAGCCAGGTGGGCTCAGGGCTTTTCCAGCTAAGGGAAAGTCTGAAGGGAAGGAGGAAGACAGAGGCTGGAAGTCTGGCCAGAGGGATGAACTAGCATCAGGGAGGAGGTAGCTCTGCGAGGAGAGACTTCAAGTGAGGTGTTGCATGACTCCAGGGCACCCTCCTGTCAATGTAAAAAAAAACCGTCCAAACCTGTAGAAATTTTTCTAAGTTTATTTGAGTCAAACTGATGACATATGCCAGGGAGCAAGATCTCAAATGTGCTGGAAAATAATAGTTTTTGCAGTTTCTTTTATACATTTGGAATTAAGGAAAGTAAGGAATATTACGTAAAGGTGGGAGAAAGCAAGGGATTGGATTACAAATTAGTTAAGATTATGTGCTCCCTTGAGGGTAGTCATGCTTTAAAAAGGGATCTGAAAAGGCGGGGAGGGCAGTTCCAGAAACAGTGGACAGAGCTGGCTTAAAGCAAAGGTAAGCCTTTTAGTAAAGAAGTTATATGTTTGGGGCGTGACTCCCCACCATGACCTGCTCAGTTAGGAATTTATGATCAGATTGCTTTGTGAGGTTACTTTCCATAGAACCCCTTTATTCTTCCACAGCCCTCTGCCTGGGTACCCTTGGAGCAGCCTTCCCCAAGATTTGTAGGGTTTGCAGAGTTCTGAGCTCAGGGGTCCCTCTGCTGGCCACTCCTGGTACTGCAGGCCTCTGGTTACTATATTACTCAGGCTGTCTGGGCTGTCTGGGCTCCCCTCTGTTGCACACCTGCCCTGGCCACAATCGCCCCAGGCAGCTGGGCCATCCCTAGAGCTACTGCTTTGGCTTATTTAAGTCAGTATTCAAGTTCCCTTCCCACTCCTGCCTGGCCAGCTTGGACTGGGTCTGAGATGGGGGTTGCCTTGTATACCTGTGGGTTGCCCTAATACCAGGTGTGGCAGGTGCCTCTCAGGATGCCCAGACAAGGGGGCTTAGTCAGACTGGAGGGAACACTGGCATTGGAGTCACAAAGACCCTGTGCAGTCACTGGATGGCTGTGTGATCCCTTCGTATCTCAGTTTTCTCTGTTGTAAACAGAGAAATAATTAGTCCTGCCTTGCGGAGCTATAGTGAAGATTCTGTGGGTTGGTTGCAAAATGGTTAGTGCCATGTTTGGCACTTACTAAAGGCTATTTCCTTCCTTCCTTTACCCATCTCTCTGTCCATGGTTGCAGGAGAGACACCTTGGGGCCTGAAGGGAGGGGCTCCTGCCTCTGTACCCGCCATGGTTGGGCTTTGGGGAGCATGCTAGATGGGGCAGTCTGTAGATCCCTCTGATGACAGAGATGAGCGTGGGACACTGACCAGTGGGAGGGCCCCTTGTGCCGGCAGGAGGCGGACCTGAGACGGACAGTGGAAGAAAGCAGCCGCATCCAGAGGGGCTACGGGCACTACTTTGACCTCAGTCTGGTCAACAGCAACCTGGAGAGGACCTTCCGCGAGCTCCAGGCCGCCATGGAGAAGCTGCGGACGGAGCCCCAGTGGGTGCCTGTCAGCTGGGTGTACTGAGCCTGCTCACCTGGACCTTACCCCATCTGGGTTGTGACCCAGAACCCTAAATTCATCCTTCCCCAACCGTGACCCCCAACCATAATCCTTAGCTCCCATCCCTGGCGCTCTGGTTGTCCCTGGGTAGTGGCTTCTAGGGGGCCCTAAGTCTGGCTTCGACACAGAGAAGTGCCACTGCCAGGGAGCTGGGTGTTCATGGGGTACCTCTATGCCCAGGTGCTACCCCCTCTTGATCCCCCTTGGCCACCAGATGTCCCTCTCTGAGGGCCAAGCTGTACCCAGGAATGTGTCAGAGCCACCTCTAAAAGGCTCAGGCCAGAGATCAGAAAAGCTGCTATGGGACCACGTGGTCAGTAGGTACACTGCTCTCCCCCCACTCCGTCCCCCACCCCTTGCCTCTCTCCAGTCCCCTTTTCTCCTCTGGACTGGTCACACCCACTGTATTCCTGTATTCCTGGGCTCCTCCCACCTCATACCCAGATGTCCTAGGAGCAGGCCCTAGGCTGTTTCCCCGTGGTCTGTGGAGTAAGTAGCTCCCAGGTGGCCAGTCAGGCCTGGGCAATGGTGCCAGCCTGGTACCATCCTGAAGGCTGCAGGAGCCAAAGCACGAGCCAGTTGCCAACCCGGGGAGCAGTGCAGCTCTTGGCTCCCTCAGAATGAGGTGGGGTCCCACAAGTGAACACTACCCTGTCCTTCCTTACCCACAGCTTTTCACTGCCGAAGTCTCTCCACAGACTTCTCCATTGTGCCCCTGACAGGTCAGCTTTGCTTCCTGAAGGGCAAGGCTGGCAGTGTCAGTGGGCTTAGCCCAGGTCCGGGTGGGTGGGAGGCTGAGCCCTGTGATGAGGAGCCCGCTATTACTGACCGAAGATCTGCAAGCTCTCCATGGCCCATGGTGGGGACACGTCTGGGTTCCCTGTACATGACCATGTCCATTTTGGTCTACTCTTTGGCCAATTCCAAGTGGCCTACTGGCGTCAGGGCTGCTTGGGGGGCTGAGGAAGAGTACAGAGGGGATTTTGTGGGCACTGGGCCATGGGGTATAGGCTTGGTGAAGGACATTTGTATTTTGGTAGGCTCCTCATAACCCAGCTCCAGGGGGCGCCATCCACACTGTTTCTGAGCAGCTTATATTCCGCAGGCTGCCGTGCCTGATCTGTGTTTCTGCTGCTGGCGCGTGTGTGTCAGGCTCGGCCTTTGGAGAGGAGCAGCAAAGAGTGATTTTGCTTGGAAAGTCACTCTTTGGGGTCCCTGTTTTGGGGTTCCCCATCAGCCCCTATGTCTTATGAGACCCTTATCCTAGTTTCTAGAGCCTTGACCCTCCCAGATGTCTTCCTCCAGCTCTCCTATTGACCCCTGACCTTAAACACCACTCTCCTGCCTTTGGGGAGGGCAATTATGTAAAATAGGAGAATCCCTTTTAAGAAAAGAATGCTGTCCTTGACTTCCCCAGGCATCTCATCCCTCATCCTTCTCTGTGATCCTTCCTGGGGTGAGCCTGTCCTTGCAGGGTACCACTCCAGCCCCTGTGCTTCCCAGCCCTTCTGAATGTCTAATCAGTGTTCGCTGCAGTGTCAGCCCAAGCTGGCCCCTGAACCACTGTGTGCCCATTTCCTAGGGAAGGGGAGGGAGAAGAAACAGATATTTATTACAAAGTTAGAAATATATTTATTATATTAGGGATCTCATTTACATTTGCATAGGATATGCAAATGAGATGTCAAGGTCAAGCCTTTTCCCATCCATTTGCATAGCTCTGCATCCACTATGCAGTCATCTTTATACTCCTCTTTCCCCTTTAGTCAGAGTTCTTTTTATCCTTAATTCAGCTCTCCCTTGCACCACCCTCACCCTCAGCCCAAGGGTACTGGGAGCGGGAGGCAAATGGGGTATTCTCCTGTTGGCCAGAGGCCATGGTGTCCTTTGTAAGGGTCTACCCCATCTGGGGGACTTGGGAGTAGAGACAGTGAAGGGTCTGCTGTTGTAGCCACCCCACCTTCTTGGTTAACCTTCAAAGCCCCTTAACTAAAAGACGTGGGTGAGGGGAGCTGGGCATTTCCACTGTGGATACTGTTCAAGCATCATCACCTCTATTGATGCCCAGGGGACAGGGCTGTCATTATCCCTGTCTGAATGGGTACTACCTCCCCTGCCTAAGCCCCACTCCGTGGGTTGGATCAAGTGTTCCAACTGCGTTAGCTCCGACTCTGTCCTCTCTCCTTCCGCTGTGGATGCTTGTATTTGAGGGACCTCAGGATAATGAAGACCCTGCCCCCCAACTGTCCACACTCAGTCCCAGCCCAGTTGCCCTTCCCCTCTCCCCTCCTTCAACCTTCCTGTTCCTGAGCGTTCTCTCTAGCTGGTTTTCTTTCTTTTCCTTTGATTAAATGTGAAAGCAAAGGCTTCCGGTCTCAGTCTTTGGTTAGGGCGGATGTCTTCGGGAGAGGGTGACAGCGGGAGCACAGCACAGATGATTCTGGAATGGAGTCAGAGTGACATGTGTTCTGTGATGTCTTCCAAAATTTCCAGTCCCACCATTCCACACTCCCCATCCCTAGAAGAGGCTGTTTCTAAATTCTTGTGTCCAGCAGTCTGCGAGCATTCGAGGGGGTGGGCGGACTCAAGGACTCCATGGCTAATCCACTTAGCTTCACACGGAACTTGCTGTGTGGCCTTCAGCAGGTCCCTCTACTTCTCTGGGCCTTGGCAAGCTTTTTTTTTTTTTTTTTTTTTTTTTTTTTTGGGGGGGGGGGGCGGAGTTTTTTTTTTTTTGGTGGGAGGTGGGGCGGGTACAGATTGATAAAATCCATGTGGTTCATTCAAGATGAGCAGACCTGCTGTTTTTGTCACCGGCTTAAGAGTCCCCCTCTCAGATCCCTGTGGCACCCCTGCCAGCTGCCAATGCTGGGTGCTTGTGTCACATCCTCAAAATGCTGTCGGTGGAGAGCACTTCCCTCTTAAGCTGCGAGGTACCCCGAAGCACATCACTTCCCCTCGCCCTCTCAGGGGCTTCCCATCTTCCCTGCTTGGGTTTTCTCTTCCCCGATGAGCTACCGCTTCCTGGATGAACTTAGAAAATCTCTCCTCACTACACCTTGATGGATGAGGGTCATAATAACCACTTGTCGAGGGATAGGATGGGGAACGGAGAGCTCAAATTACTCATTTTTTAAAAAATCAATACTCCCTTTTGCTATTAAAATGTTTCTTTTAAAGAAACAAATGGGGAATAAATGATAGTTTACTGTTATTATCGTTAACATCCCGATGAGGCAAAACTAAACGTTAGCAACTTTTGATGTTTCTGAAGATTTTTTCCCCCATACTGGAAACCCTTGCTCTCAGGATGGGTGAGCAGTGACTTGTGGCATTCTTTCGTTCAAGGGGATTGAACAGAGTCCTACGTATCTACAAAAGATGGCGGAGCTGAATATTTTGGTGTACAAATACAAAACCAAGGTGTATCAGACGGGGGATTGCAAGTGGCAACCAGTAAGGGAGTGGTCTTGTCCTGCTGCAGGGAGGGCAGAGCGGGGTGGCAGACTGCAGCGGTGGGAGTTAAGGAAGTGTGTGAGCGTCTATGAACAATACTTGAGTGTCTGATAAATCTGTGGAAACTGGGACTTCCATGGATGTCATTCCTAGGCTGTCTTGGAGAGAGCTTGGCCACAAAAGACATCAGTGTGTATAGGGGGGTACATGGTCTGGGAATGGGCAAGGGATGGGACTGGGATGACCTAGCTGACCAACTCCTGCTCCCCAGGAGACCCTGGCTGCCGTTGGTGATGGGTTGAGAAGACAGGAGGGTTCTTTCCTCTCCTAGGCAAACCCAGTTCCCACCAGCCTCTAGCCTAGGGATTCCTCAAGGGAGAAGTTTGCTTTGGGTGAACTTGTGTGGTCTCAGAGACTACCTGAAACTTGCTGTCTCCTACCTCCCCCCAATATCTGGACAAACCCTGTGCCCGGATCCTGGCCAGAGCCTTCAGATGTGGGGGCTCCCTTTGCACCTTGGGAAGGTAAGTGGTGCTCACCCCTCCTGACCCCTCCTGGGGGTCTTGGGCACTGGCTGGCACATTTTGGTGAGTTTTTCTTGCTTTATTGGACCAGCTCCACCTTGCCCAACATTCTGGGCAAGGGTCCCCTTGTAGGGACATTCCTGAGTGGTTTCTCCTGCCACCCACAGGACTGGTGTAGAGGCTGGTGGGGACTGTGAGAAATGCTGATCGAAAGGCCTTGGTGGAATGAAATTGGTTCTGCCATTTCAGACAGCTGTGTTAAACAAGCAAACAGATAAACAAACATTTAATGGCTGAAAAGCTTTTTTAAAAGAAAGGGTTTATTGGACCATACTGCAAACCAGAAAAGGACCAGGTCCTAGGCCATGAAGTCTAAACCACCATCTGCATGGTTAGGTGCAGGAGACAACATGTCTATCATCCTGGAGTTGATGAGAACTTTTATATGTTATGTTTTAGGGAAGAAAGATGTAATTTGTTTTGAAAGAATTTACATTGGCTGCAGATAAGGGGGGCATGATAAGGTGAAGAGGGGGCAATTCTATGATAGGATATCTGTAAGGAAGAAATATTTACCACTTTTGATTGATTACAGGTAACAGTCCTGAAAGTTCGTACATATGCTGGATGTCTAGTGGTCCCCGGTAGGGAATCTGGGGTTGATTCAAAGCTCCAACAAATATTCAGGAACGTAAGTAGTCTTTTGTCAGTTGGCCCAAAGGCATAAATTGGTTAGTTAATTATAATATATAATTATTATTTTTAAAACATACAATTATTAATAACAACTACTTGGGTAATTTTTTCTGTCTCCCTCACTCTCTGGCCCACTGTAATTTAATTTAGAACATCTCAGTTGTTTAGCAATGGGTATCAGTAACTTCAAAAATGTTCATCCTCTATGACCTGACAATCCCACATATGAAAATTATTCTTAAGGAAATTTCTGAATGCAGATAGAGCCTTGCGCAAAGATTCACCATGCTGTTATTTAAAAGCAAAAATAGAAAATAAATATCTAGTGACAGAGAACAAATAAATCGAAGCACACTGATAGGATGAAAGATTACGCAGCTAATAAACATTTTATTTATAAAACGTTTGTAAAAACATGGAGGAATGCTTATGCTATGTTAATTAAGTGGAGAAAGCAGGATATGAAGTTGTGTGTATAAAATAATTTGTAAAGAACACCAGCAAATGACGAGGAGAGAAAAGAGAATGAAATACAGCAACATGCAATTATGATGGCCTTTGGGCAGTGGTGAGACAATGGTGACTCGCTTTCTTTTTCCCTCCATCTTTCTAAGTTTTATATACTGGGCAACCCCCATTTCACTTTTGAAAGAGGATAGACAAAGAAAAAAATAGTTCTGCTACTCTACCCGGCCATCCCTGCTCCAGAGAGCCAGACTCAGGGTCATCTTGAGGTTCCCCTTAGGTTCCTGCTCTATCCCCTTCCTCTTCCATTTTAGACACCCACCTGCTTCGGTGGTTCCTCCCCCGACCAGAACCCACAGGCAGTTAACCTGTTCTTGACAAGGAAGGAATTAAGCTCTTCTCCATCCTCCTTCTAAAGCCTGAATGAATGCCTGGCTGCATGGGGAGATTTGAAAGGCAACTGCTCCTTGCTTTCCAGTGTGCACCTGCCCCTGGCCTGGACTCAGGCAGGCCCAGGAAAGCCCTAGCTGCGGTCGTGGTGTCCTGCATAGAGCAGCCCCTACAGGGGCAGGTGGGAGACCCCACGCACCAAATGTAGACGCTAAGCTGGAGGGACCTGAGTTCAGTAGGCCCACTGGTTCTCCAACTCAAGTATTAGAATCGCCAGGCACTTAGAAATGCAGAGCCCTGGGCCTAGCCCCAGACGTGGTTTTGGTGGGTCTTGGTGGAGCCCAGGAATCACATTTTTAACAGCTTCCTGAAGGACGGGGATGCAGGTGGTTCACAGCCGCCCTTCAAGAAATCAGAATCTGGTTCTAACCCAGCCATGTTCCTTCCTCCTCCCTAGCTTATGCAGGAAAAAGCAGTGCCCAGTCTGAGAATGGAAGGAAGGGAGGACAATGTGGGCTCTGGAGGGGAGGAAGGCGGCCTGTTGCTGGGCACCCAGGCCAGGGGATTACCTGTAGAAGA